ATAGCTCTTCCAAATAACAACTCTGTGTGAGGTGAAAAATTGCTGCCTCTTTGCAAAGGCTGTATACTAGTCATTTATTTTGTATGCCATGTACATTTCTTAAGACTTACCTATTGGCTAACTAAATAGTAAATTATATGTGAAACATGTTGATATTCAATTTTGGTCAAATCCAGCTTGTTGTCTGTCTTGCTCTTGATTCCTGATTCATTAGCTGGTTTCTGGAAATCTTACATTCTGTACATTCATATAGCTTAGAGATAAAATAGTTTGAATTAATTCAAAAATTAACCATATTCTTATCATAACAAAAATGTTACTTACGAGTTTGATTAGTTATGCTTATGCTTTGTTTGGCAACTAGGAAAAGGAAATCAAGAGAGTATAAAAGAGATACCACTAAGGAAAGTAAACGAGGAAATCTCTTCTCTTATTTGGAGTTGACAAATTAAGAGTGAAAGTGGTCCATTATCCACGGAGTTTCGTCTAGTAACCTCGAAAATTTCTAGATTATAAAAAAAAATGGAAGTAAGAACTCATCAGACTCCCAATACCTTTTGGGATTGTCTGCACGAGACAAAAAAGATATCCGTGGATAGACATTATACTTTTCTCTCAATTTTCTTTCTAGTGAGCTACGTGACTACAATTTTAAGTCCACGGAGTACAACTATAGCATTAATCTCGTGAAAACTATTATTTACTGTATCACTTGTTTCTTGTTGAGATTGGTGGATGGGTATAGAGTGGGAAGAAAACTAAATAGAAGCAAATAATTAGGTGTTGGGCTTAACTAGCGCAAATATACTTTTAATATGGTACGATATTATTTGTTTTGGGAAAAGTCTGTACGATTTCGCTAAAAGTCCTCACACCGTTTAGATTGGGGAGAAATTCAAAAATAGCCAGATTTACATGTGGTCATTCAAAAATAGCCATAATTTCAAAAGTAATCGAAATTTAGCCACTTTTCATGTAAAGATAAATATGAACGAAAACACTATTCAAAATACGAAAAATACTCCAGCATAATATACTGGGGTACCAGTATAATATACCGGTCCAGCATAATATGCTAGAAGTTCATACACGGGTGCTCCAATCTCCAGTATATTATGCTGGAACTTTTCGCGTGTTGGAGTTCCAGCATGGTATGCTGGAAGTTCATACACAAGTGCACCGATCTCCAGTATATTATGCTGGACCGGTCCCTGTTGCAGCAAAATAGTGGCTATTTTCAATGTTTGCAAACGCTGGCTATTTTTGAATGATCAGTCCGAAAACTGGCTAGCCCGTGCTATTTTTACTTAAGATTGTTGAGCTAAAACATCCCAAATAAGTCTTAACATGCTATGAGGCCTTTTAGGAAAATCATGCGGGCTTGGCCCACAAGAGATAATATCACACCATGTTAAGAGTATCTTGGAGCTGGTTGAGTACAACAACTGGAATTAGATGTGAAGCTCGGTATGCACACACAAGAAGAGGTTAGTTGCTGGTTTCGGTTGCATATATACTCTGATGATGATGTGGGTGACATGCAATGAATCTTGAAAATTGACTCGTGAATCGTGGTAGTGGCCATGTGGAACTCAGTTAGAGAGGGAGATCTGTGGATCATGGTAGTGGACCATGTAGAACTTAGTTAGAGGGGGAGATTATTGGGTATCCGAACAAAATCCTACATTGGTAGCTAAAAAGATTGGGAGTCTACATATAAGGTGTATGAATCTTTTAATGGTGTGAGACCAAATTCGTATGGGCTTAGCCCAAAACGAACACAATCACACCATAGTAAGAGTAGTTTTAGGCCGGTTAAACTCAACATAAAGCTTTATACATCTCATTCTTTCCTATGTATAAAAATGTGTAATTTCGATCTTTCTTTTTTATATGAGCTAAAGTAATATACATTGTAAAGATTTTTATACTACTATGATAATTTAATTTGTGATAAAGTGCCGACAAGTGAAGATTCTAGATTGCATTTTAAACAGGGAATTGACAGTGCAAAAGGTTAGAATATCACATGAATTCAGGCAGGCCCCTACGAATTAACCTTCAAATTTCTCTTTTTAACTTTACACACTATCAAGTGTCAACTACCAAGAAAAATAAAGTGTCAACTGCACCTAATTTGCTACTCATTTCTCTAGCAAGTCCTTAAAAATTGAAATCTTAGGGGCCCAATTAAAGAAGTCCTTCTGATTTTCTAATTGCATGTACTGTCAATTTCTTACTTCAGTGAATAGTAACTGAGAAAATCTTCTAAAAATATTTAGTACTATATAGTTTTAGAATTGGTATAACGGTCCAAATGGCAGGCAAAACATTGGTAAAAGAAAATGAATCAACCTAACTTTGGTGGTGTTCTATCACTTTCACTGACAAAAGTTTTAGCTACCAAAAATCAGAGTCGGAGCCAAGATTTTAATCTTACGTATCTGAATTTTAAAATAACGACTTCAAATCAATTAGCAAATTTTTTTTAGTAGTATTTGGCATTTGCACCAAATCAATTAATACAAGATATGGTTCGACCCTTGGGGAAGAAAAAATCCTGTTATATGGAGCGCTTCCTCCTTTGGTGAGTTTTACACGATGAGAATTTGGATTAGTCGATGTTCCAAAGCTGACACTGAACATCTGGTGAAAAACCAAAAAAATAAATTATTACGAAATATGTATCTTTTGCACAAGTTTATCACTTGACCATAATTAAGTAATACATATTCTAATCTATATTTATGATTGGTAAGATTAAATTCTACATTTGATATAAACATTGAGTACAATTAAAAAATTTAATTATATACTTAATTGGGATACAATTGATTTGGCAAATTGCGTTCAGTTGAAGTAAGCTAAGACAAACATGAGACATATACATCGCAATATGTTTCTGTTTTTACTTCGACATTTTGGTCCATACCATGCAATAAAATAAATGTTTTGTTTACTATGGCTACAGAAATCCAATAAATAAATTTAGAATAGAAGCAATGAATTATTAGAAATGATGTATGCACATGACAATCATTCTATGAATTAAAACAACTTAACGTGAACAAAGTGAATTTTATATAATATAGTGCGCCAGCAACCGTTCCAAGGAATTAAATAAAGTCATTTTTTAAATCTTGTCTTTTAATTTGTAAATTATTAGTTGAATCTTGAAATCAATGAGCAATGCATTACAACTGGACCTTGGCAATGATCAAAGTCATTTGGTCTAAATAATACAAGACAAAGTCGTTATAATTGCCATGGAAATATTAATACATCAACCCTAGCTGCCACCCCAGAAACAAGTCATTTTAATTGGTGTATTCCTTGAATAATGATCTGCATTTTTATTTTTAAATCTACTTGTTCCTTTTTTGGTGTACAATATTATGTTAATATTAATGTTTTTGGAAGAAATTTTTTGAAGGCACTAGCAAATATATGGCAATACTAATGCCATGGAGTTTCATATTATTTTTCCTTATAATTGAATTTTGCCGAGGTCTATCGGGAAACATCCTATTTACCTTCAAGGTAGGAATAAAGTCTGATACACATTATTCTTTCCAGACCCCACTTACAGGGTTATACTGAGTTTTTTATTGTTGTTAGTCTTATTTTGCAACCATAAACGGTATTTTTATCCATTCTGGATATATTATATGGCGGTATTTGACTATTTAAGTGTTCGAAGGTTTCCATATCTTATATCCGAAGATGATATTTTAAAGGCAGATAATATAGTTAAACGATAATTTTGAAAAAATAAAAGACAATTTTGATCAGTTGATTGGTTGGTCAATGCCAACTAGAGAAAACCGTGATGAAAAAATACAAACAAAAAAAATTATTTTGCTTTCTTTTCTGTTTCATTTTAGTGTACAAAAAAAAAAATCATTGCCATCTTCTCTTTTTATTTATTTCTATTTTTTTCATCAATAGGGTAGGAATAAATGCTTGTGGTATTGCCAGCTCTATAACACTACATCACATGCCTTTATTCCCCGTAAACCATCTTGAATATTCTTCATAGTCAAAAAAATAAAGTAGAAATAATGGGGACGGTAACATTCAGTTAAACTATATTTAAAACCTCAACCAAGATTAGTTAACATTTTTAATATGAATTAGTTAGTAATATGGTCTTATTGGAGGTGCTTTTTTAGATTAATGATTTTAATAATAGCTTAAGCACATGGAGAAATTGCTACAATCTAAGAATGGGGTTTATAGTTATGATTTCACTAAAGAAGATTTTGTCTCTTCATTTGGTGCGATTCAACAATCTACTATTTATCCAAACTTAAAAAGTCTACAGCTTTCGCC